CAGACCAGCAGCAACAGAGAGAAAAATACTTTTCTCAAAGTATTTAATGTGGGAAGATACTCGCAAGCTTATTCGATGAAGTAAGAGAATTGTTTTGTTTATACAAGGGAAGATAAAGCACATTTTTCCATCCATCATAATGATATATTAAAAGGAAGCATACTATTGTGTGTAATTGCCTTTTTGGCCAGCACTCCCAAGGCCCCTGAGGACAGGACAAGGGGTGCCTGTCCCATCCAGCTCAGGGCAACAACCCTGCTTAAATGCTTGGGGGAGGCACTTCAGCACTGCTCAGTGCAGATTAATTGGGCCAGACCTAACAAGACCTACAACAGTATCTTCACTTTTAATCAGAGAAGAGAGACAAACAAACAGTACCTGCACATGGGCATGTAGTGACAGGACAGAGGGGAGTGTTTTTAAACTGGCAGAGGGCAGGGTTGGATGGGATATTTGGGAGAAATTCTTCCATGTGGGGGCAGTGAGGCCCTGGCATGGTTTGCCAGTGGCTGTTGGCAGGGCCAGGTTGGATGGGACCAATATTGCATTCATCACATGGGCCATATATTGCATTTATCTCTATTTTATTAGTAAGTTACTGTACATAATAATAACACTTCAAATATACAGAGGGCCTTTTGGACACAGTTTGGAGTGGAGCTGGAACATAAATCCCATTAATTCCCTGCCGTGTGTGGTAGAGGCAAGTGGGATTAGCTCTCTTCCTTTTCCAGCACGCTCTGGACACATCAAATGGAGCTGTCTGCGAAGGGAAACGAAGAGAATTCTGTGATCTTTATCAGGATCTTTTTAAAAGACTGATGTGTGAAAGCAGGAGCGCGTGTGAAGGACCATCTGCCACATCGTTAACACTTTGGACATGGAAAGCAGCCCCAAAAGGCAAATGCGGGAGCATTCGGGGTGAAGAAGTTGTTCTAAAAGAACCAGAAAGACACAGAAGGGAAATATATTCCTCTGATGTCAGTATGGATAGTGAAAGCAGGGAACAAAGCGAGGATGTGGGATGAGATGGGAAGTATTTCACTCCAATGTATCGATGGTTTGTGGTTACTGTCATTTCCCACCAGTTACTGACTGAACTCCCAGCCCGAGGCAGGCAGGAGCCACTGGCTGACACCAGGGAATGTTGCTCTGTGATATTCTGAATCTCCCCTCTGGACCATTTGGTGTTTGCTGCAGCACAAATGGGGCTGGAGCTGCTCTGATCCTGCTGTGTCCCGTGCAGGACTGTCCTGGAAGCACAAGGGTTTTCTTGGCAGGCTGCTCCTGGGGACGTGGGGGAAGTGATCAAACAAGTCCTTCAATAGCCAGGATTGTCAAGATGAATATTGGAGGGAATCTCTTCCTGGAATTCCAGAAACACACAGGAGGGAATGGAATGAACCTCACCTTCTTATCCTTCCAAATAAATTCTGCCCAGTTTCAAACAAAAGCACAGCAAAGATGCTCAGAGCTATTTTTTCAGTGGTTTTTCTCATTGTGAAAACAGGAGCAGAGGCTACTCTGGGGGAAAAGAAATTCAACCTGAAATCACCACTAAGTTGAGCTTTGAATGAAATGGAGATTCAGCCTGTTGCAGGAATATGAGGGCTACCAAACATCACTATGACTTTTTATTTTGGGAATTAGAGATTTAGAATTAGAAATCACCATTAAGTTGAGCTCTGAATGAAATGGAGATTCTGCCTGTTGCAGGAATGTGAGGGTTACCAAACATCACTATGACTTTTTATTTTGGGAATTAGAGATTTTTCTGAGGATAACAGAAATTTAATATGGCACATGAACCCAAAGATACCAATTTTAATTTTATGCAGTTGATTATTTACCTTGAAACTATTACTAGAGAGGTGGAAAGGTGGTTTTTTCTCCAAAATCTCTCCTTCTGGCCTTTCTGTGCAGCTCACAGAACAACATGAAAAATATTTATAGTCTTAATGATTCAGTAATTTCAACCTTCAGTTCTGTTTATACAGGAAAAGCTTTTTAAATAATAGATGTTTATTATTGCTGAAGATTTCTTCCTTTGGCTTGGGGTATGTCTTTGGGTTCCTCCCTTTTGGTGGAACAGCTGTTATGTCTGAAATGTGTACAGAAGGGTCTATTTGTGTAAGTGCAATTTTCTACATGATTGATTTTGGAGTATTTGTATGAGTGTGCAGAGAGTCCACTGCCCGTGGATTTCATTTCAAACTAAACATCCGTCTGGAGGCAGAGGTTAAAACAAGTGCAAATCAAAGCACTGGTTACTCACAAATAGCTTTGTCACAGTCTGATAGCCCAGTAGATTTGAATATTTCTTTGCAACACTTGAACTGCTCTCAAACAGATTCTAGAAGCTAATTGGAAGCTTAGTCAGTACAGAAAGTCCTGTTGGAGAGGAATAGTGAATAAAGATGCACTGAAGAAGAACGAGGAGGCAGCTGGGCTGGGAGGGAGGCATGGGGAGGAAGATAAAACCAGTGGATTTGCCAGTGGATTGGCCTGCATGTGACTGGGGGGAGCCAGAAGCTGTCAGTGCTGGCACAGTGTGGCAGTGGGGCTGTCCCATCCCTCCCCACACCCACCCTGACCCCTCACTCACCTCTCCCTCCTCACTCTCTCCCTGTTGGTTTAATCTCCAGGGAAACATTTCACTGGGAAAAATCTTTGTCACTTTAATTCCCAACATTTTGGGTTCAACAAACTTCAGGTGGGTACAGTGCGGGGTTTGGTGTCCCAAGGACATCACCCCTTGTCCTGGAAGGGTGTTATAGGAACAGGGGGTCCTGGTGGCTCATCCCAGGACAGGCAGCCCTGTGCTCCTGGGGAAAGATGCTCTTCTGAGGGCTCCTGCTCCTTGGGGTGTCTGGGAGAGGAGCTCATACATCTACAAACCAGCTTTGTGAGTGAAAGGGACCTTGTGATTCCCAAATCACAGTCTAGCACGTGGGGGCAAGGCAGGAGCCTACACCCATGGCTTGGCTCTGCCACCATGTGGGATCTTTGATGTTTTTCTTCAGAAAAATTGCAATTGGCTGCTGTTTTCATAGGCCTCAGCAGTTGGCAATGCCTTTGCTTGATTTCCCTCCGCTTGTCATTCTGTTTTCAAGAGTTTTAAGCCTTCCCCTGGCAGAAAAATAATGCAATGGCTTGTGGAGGAGGAGTTAGAGCAAAGGGGTCTAACTCTGACCTGGGAAATGCACAACCATCAGATTGGGCTTCACAGCTGAAAATCTTTGCCCAGAGCCAGGGAACCAAGTCACCCTTTCTGGGCAGAGCAGAGATCACTGCTCTCTTTCAAACAGAAAACTGGAGGCTCATAAAATTGCCTCCATTTTATAGAGGTGCAGCTGAGGCTCTCAGGCAATGCTCAAGAGGGTTTAAAACATCACCTTTTCCTCAGAAAGACCTGAGACCTCTGTTTCTTATCTTTTATGCTGGAGTCATGAGTCTTTGCAGGTAAGATTTCATTATTTACCTACTTAGATGGAGGAAGTAATGAAACACTCCCCGGGAGAGGAAACCTGACTGAGGAACAGTTTAATGAATTTTTTCCAAGAAGCAATTAATAGGTTTTATGCAGATCAGATTTATTTACTGTGGAGGGGAAAAAAAATCTTTATAAATTTAAAGTGCTTGATATTGCTAAAGACTTTTTCTCTTTGGCTCAGTGGCTGCTTGTTGGACACATTTCAATTCCCATCCTTTGCTGAGCAGCTGCCATTGCTGGCCACTGCCCAGTCTGCAAAGCCACAGGAGCATTTTGCACAGATCTGTCCCTTAGGGCAAGTGGCCCCAAAGGACCCCTTTTGCTTCCCAGGCAGCTTTAGGGAGGAAAGAACCCTTTGACTTTGATGTCAGTCCAATCAGAGCAAATCCTTTACAAACACTGGGATGCTGCAGTGAATCATAGAATCACACAAAGGTTTGGTTTGGAAAGAACTTACAAGCTCATCTTGTTCCAACCCCCTGCCTTGGACAGGGATGCCTTCCACTGTCCCAGGGTGCTCCAAGTCCAGTCCAACCTGGCCTTGGACACTTCCAGGGATCCAGGGGCAGCCACAGCTTCTCTGGACAACCTCACAGAGAATAATTTCTTCCTAATATCAAATCTAAATCTCTCTCCTTTTAGTTTAAAACCATTCTCCTTTGTTCTAACACTATCTACCCATACAAACAGTTGCTCTCTTTCCTTTTTGCAAGCCTCATTTAGGTACTGTTAGTCTCTAAGATCTCCCTGAAGCTTCTCTTTTCCAAACTGAGCACCCCCAACTTCCTCGACCTAAGAGCTCCTGCTTTCATTTGGTTTGGTACAAAAGGAACAAGAAACTCTTGCCAATCCCTGGAAGTGGCTGGGAGTGGGTGACACCAGGAGGCACTGAGGGGACCTGGGGAGCAGCACGGGTGACATTGCCGCGGTGGGCAGGGCTGGGCTGAAAGCCGGAGAGCAGGGGGATCCCGGAGGGGGCAGAGCACCACCCGCTCTGAATCCCGCTTGGGGCAGGATGGAGGCGAAAGTCCGGATGCAGAAGGAATTGAAAATGAAACGCTGCTCTGGGAAGGGGGATATAAAACACCCCTGTCTGCTTCCCCCCGTCTGCGGGGCACGGAGGGAGCGAAGTGCGGGCAGACGGAGGATGGAAGGGCGGACGGAGGATGGAAGTGCGGGCGGACGGAGGGACGGATGGATGCCCCCGCCGGGGGGCGGCCCCTCTCCCCTCCCCTCCCGCCGGGCCGGGCCGGGCCGGGCGGCTCCGCTCCCCCCGCGGGGCCGCTCCCGCCCCCGCTCCGCCGCCGCATTTAACGGAGCTCGCTGCTGCCGTGCCGAGCCGTGCCGTGCTGAGCCGTGCCCAGCCGTGCCGTGCTGAGCCGTGCCGAGCCGTGCCGTGCTGAGCTGAGCCGAGCCTAGCCCAGCCGAGCCGTGCTGAGCTGAGCCGAGCCGAGCCGAGCCGAGCCGAGCCGAGCTGGTCCGGTCCGGACCCGTCGCGCTCCCGGCCATGGCGCGCCCGCTGCCGCTGCTGCTGCTGGCGCTCGGGCTCGCCGCCGCCGCCAAGTCCCCGTACCAGCAGGTCCTGCAGCACAGCCGGCTCCGCGGCCGGCAGCACGGGTAAGGGGAGCCAGGGAGGGGGGAATCTCTGTTAAACCCTTTTTCCCCCCGTGTTTGCCCGGCCCGCAGGGGATGCGCCTGGTGCGGGCTCGCCCCGGGGCTTTGTGCGGGCACCGTGCGGAGCTCTCTCGGTAACCACGGCTTCCTTTCTCTTTCTCTTATAATAGGAAGAGAAGAGGTAACTCTTTCTCATTTCCTTCTCTTTCATCCCCTGGTAACCTTTTCTCTTTCGGTAACTTTCCCCCCTTTCCATCACCAAACTTAGTGTTGCAGATGTCAGTTCGGAACTTCCAATGCTTCTTTATCAGTTTATCCCTGTTAAGGAAAAAGAGTGTAAAAGTCCCTAGATTTTGAACCATTAAAGATTTTGTAGAAGGAATTTTCAGTTTTGTGTATTTGTAAGAAAAAAACCCCTTCAATGACTCTGTGGAGTCAGCCCCAACTTATTCTTTGACTGGAAAACTCAGTTAGTCTTGGAAGTTTTCCTGACAAAAATAATCACTAATTTATCCACAAACCTTACAAGATAAGGCCTATGGAAAAATGCATATAGACCTCTCTTGCTTGATACACAGTCTGTTATAGAGTGAGTACTTTGGATGTTCATTAATAGGCAGAAAACTAACCCAATGTTAATAGTTATTCCCACTGTTTTTAAAGTTTATTAAGAATTGGGAATGGTGAAAGGATGAAAGACTTTTCAGCTGGCTTCCATCTCTCGGGATGGTGACAGTGATTGAGTTGAAGCTTCTGTTTAAGTGCGTTGCTGGAAGCAGGGTCATGAAATGCTTTAAATAAAAAACCTCCCAAGATTTAAATTTTGCAATTTGATACATTCTCTGGCAGGGATCTAGGTCAGGATTTATGACAAGAGATGTGCTGTTTGTATGCCTAACCAGGGACACAATCCAACAGGCAAATGCTGAGCTGATATTTATTTGTAATAGGTCAATAATGCCAGAATTGCTGTGATTTAAGTAGAAATACAGTGAATCTTGTTCACCATGTCTGTGTGATATGAAACTAGGTAAATAGTTCTGCTGATAGCCCTGAGATTGAAGTTTGCTGAGGCTGAATGAGTTAGGGCAGTCCTGGTGTAAATCAGAGCGCTCATCTCTGCAGGGAGAAGCTTTTACTCTGCACAATTACCAGAGCCACTGAGTAAGATGTGACTCTGGCCCACTCTGGTGCCTTGAAAGACACAATGGAATGCCAGAACTTCCATCTAAGTTGAGATAAACACAGTGTAGCTGCCCACAGCTCCTTGCTCACTGTTCCCATTGTGATGGAGAGGGTGATTTTTACCAAGCTAACTCTTGAACATACTCGGAATTTTGAGCGTTGATTAATGACGTGCCAGAGAGATACAGCAGCACAAAGCCAGCCAAAAACATGCTGGATGTGGGGTGTGTTGTGTTGCCTGCAGGAGCCAGCCCCAGAGGGATGTGCAAGCAGGACTGCCACCCTTTGCTGTGGGCATCCCCCACACCATCAATGCCCCCATTGAGCCCAGAGCGAGCTGGGAGGCAGAGCTTGGCTCCGCAGCAAAACTTGTACGTCTTAATTAACTTTTTTTAAAACGAACCAGCTCAAGTCAGTGAGAGGAGCTGAAAAGTGCACAAGTAACGTTAACATTTGAAAATGAAAATGTAGCAGTGCTCTTCCCAAAGCCAGCCAGCTCTGTGGGCACAAGGTGATGCTGGGGAGCACCATGGCCACAGCCATTGCAGGTATCTGTGCATCAAGTCCTGCTTTTCTCAGCCTCTTCCCAAGGGCTGCCCCTGTCCCAGCAGCTCCCAGCTGCTGCTGCCAAGCAAAAGGCTTTGGCTGAAGGGGAACAATAGGCAGTCTTATCCTGGAGTCAGCGTGGCTGGCTGGGAACGGCATGGCAGAGGTGATGAACTCCAACGAGGAGAGGGAAGAGTGTTGACAAATTCATTTTAAGCCAGACTGGGCAAGGAACCAGGACATGCAATGCAGGGAGCCGCTACTACAGCGTGCCTGCAGGAATCATTGATAACACAGCCCCGAGCGGGGGTTTTTCCACACTGAGCAAAAACTGGAAAGAAATTTCCCCCTCTAAGTCAGGGAGGGAGGAGCAGCCCCACAGAGCTGGGAGCAAGGCAGTGAAGAACTGTCCTGGAGGCACAAGGGTTTTCTTGGCAGGCTGCTCCTGGGGATGTGGGGGAAGTGATCAAACAAGTCCTTCAGTAGCCAGGCTTGTCAAGATGAATATTAGAGGGATTGTCCACTGCCGTCAGCCAGATGCTAAAATCGAGGCAAGGTTTGGAATTTCGATGTAATTGGAACCATATTTCGGCACGGCAGGGCCGGGTGGCCAAGGTGGGCTGAGTCAGAGAGCACAGACGTCTCTCTAAGCGATGATTTGGCTTGGAAGTCGCTGACTCTGGGCCAGTTTGCACCAGCTGAAAGATTGGTTTTGTGATTTCTAACTTTTTTTCAGTAGGTTCTCGCTTCTTGTTCCCTGCCTCATATACAGAAACTGAATGAAATCCTTTCATGAAGAAACAAACCAGCATTCCTGGATGTGGCAGCAGTGAGGGAGCGATGAGCTGAGTGTCCCCAGGTCCCTCTCTTTGCCCTCGGGGCAGGATGAAGGTGCTGGGACACGCAGGGTCGGATGCTGCCTCCGCAGGGCCCTGCAGCAACAAAGGCTCATTGAAGGCACGCCAGGCTCCCGCGGAGGCTGGCACTGCAGCCAGGAGACCCTCAGGTTAATTCATGCTAATGATGGCAGCCTGGCCCCTCTGGGATGCCGCTGAAAAGCAAGCACGGCCGCAGGAGGACTTGGTGGTTGGGCTGCAGACTCTGCCTTTGTTCATTCTGGGGGGCAGCGCCTCGGTCAGACACAGCAGGACACAGGCTGCTGCCTGTTCTCCTCAGCACAGCAACAGGAGCTTCACAAGAGCATCTCCAGACCCCATTGGGAGTTTCGCTTGTGCAAATGAAAAATCTGCCTTGGACAGCACAGAGCGCTTCTGACAGGCTGAAGTGATGATTTATGTGTTTTGCTTAATTATTTGTTTTCCCTTCATCTGCTTGGCAGCCAATACTGTGCATACTTGTAGTGATGCTGCTGCAACTGGGACATGGTGGTGGTGTTGGGAATCCAGCCTCAGCTGAGCTAAGCATCCTCAGCTTGCTGGAGCATTTGCTACACTCTGGTCAAGCCCAGAGGCAGCTGATGGCTTTGCAACCCAGATCCATAAATCATATCTTTTGTGCTGACCATGTTCTGCCTACACACGTGGCCAGAGCTGCTGGCCACAAACCACAAGGCTGGTTTGGCCAGGCAGAGCAGGGAAATGCTGTGCTGGCCAAACCAGCAGCAAAGGAACTCCCAGCTCCAGCCTGACCACATCTCTGCTCACGGTGATACCACTTCTTAGAAAGCTGCAGGGCTGCAGGCAGCTCTCAGCAGGGTTACTCACACATGGAACACCAACCAGCAGGTTTTCTGGCTGAGCAGGAGCTCTTGGTACCTTATGGGCTGGTACGGCCCCTCTTGATCTGTGCTGTCATATCTGGTGTGTTGAAGCAGGGGAGGGCAGTGCCACTGCTCCTTTTCCCCTCATCCAGCTCCTTTTACCCTCATGTCCACAATTTGCTGAGTCTATCATACAGCCAAAGTTCTGGGTTAGATGCAGGTCTGTAGGCTGATAAATATCTGTTTTTTTTTTTTTATTGCTATTGTTTTTTTTTAATGTCCTAGATAATAAAATAATGGCTTCTTTTGCAAGGATTTGTATTATTGCATAATTTCCCGGGTTTTAGCTGAGTTTTGAATTTTAAGTAGCTGTACACCACGGAAATTCTGACCAAAGGATTTTCACTTGATTTCTTTATATTTTGGTGAGAGGTGGAACACGGAAAAAAGTCAAGAATTTGTACTCAGTGAAGAAAGAGATGCTCTGGCAGAGTCAGGGGAGATCTCTTTCTCTGCTTCCTCCACTTCATGACAGTCATTGTAGGGCTGAATCGAGCAAGCTGACTTGCACCTCCTGAGGTTTCCTCCCCTGCCATCCCAGCAGGGCTTTTCAGGCTCTGTCAGGTGGGCTCTGGCTCCGTGCTGGGGGTCAGCACTGGCAGGGGGAGGCTGACAGGACCCTGTTCTCTCTGTTCCCTGCAGCCCCAACGTGTGCGCGGTGCAGAAGCTGATCGGCACCAACAGGAAATATTTCACCAACTGCAAGCAGTGGTACCAGAGGAAGATCTGTGGGAAGTCCACGTAAGTCCCTGGGTGCCAAAGACCCCCTTGTGGAGGTGGGAGCTGCGTGGCAGAAGCAGATGGCAGATTTGGGATGTCAGAGCCCTGGTGTGCGTGTCACGTTGTGTCCGGTTTAAAAATTGTGTGAGCTTTTTACCCCCTAAGAAATATTTGTTTTTCTAAAACACTTTGATGTTAAGCATGAAAAGTGCCATGTAAACATGAACCCTGATGGTTTATTCTAATTGCATTTCTATATATACTTATATAGCTCTCTGTGCTGTAATGAAGTGTGGGCCAGATGTTTTCTAGTACTGTCTCCATGATAGGCTCAATGCTGCCTAGATTTGAGAAATAAAAAAGGGGGAAAAAACGTAGCCCAGAGCTGATGGATATTGGAGAGAATGTAAAATTCATCTCCGTCTGTTTGCTTTGGAAGGGAAAACAAATAAAAGGAAAGAGGTGTCAGCTTTAGCCAGCACTCTCTGACTCCACCAGGAAAGTTAATCAGACTTGCAGGCCAATTCCACGTCTAACATTGCAAACAATAATATTCAAGTAGCTGTTGCATGAAGAATCTGTGTGAGCAGCCTTGGGACATTCTTTTGGAAGATGCAGTCAGCAGATAATTAAGGCTATGCATGCTTGACTATCTGCCAGGCAGCAGAGCAGGAGCAGAGAATCTTTTTCCTTGCTGTAGTCCAGGCTGGGCTTTTGGAGTCCCTTGCTGGCCCACAGCATGGACCATCCCAACACCCAGGGCCAGTGCAGAGATTCCCTGAGCAGTCCTGGCTGTGGGATCAGACTCTGGGCCAGTCTCATCCTGGATCTGCAGGGTCAAGAACAGAGAGGACAAAATCATCTCATTTGTTTCCCTTCTGGCTCAGTGTAAATGGTGATTAGATCTGTAGCAACATGCTGTTCTTCACTGCAGATTTGTGTTGCCATCATTGGTTTGTGACACCTGGGTGTCAGGATGCATGTGTGCTGTTGGTGTGGTGAGGAAGGAAGCAAACCTGGAGTCATGGCTGTGCACAGCTTTTGGCCTTTCATTGTACTTCACACGAATTTGCCCTAAGGAGGAGAATTCTGTACTTCAGGAGGATGTATTGCTGCCTGTACCATGTAGTGTGCATGTACCATTGTTTTCCTTATGTCCAGTTGTCTTTTCAGAATAAAAAAAAAGGAGAGGCAATATTGTAAAAATAAGCAACCAGATCCCCTCCCCTCAATTCTACAAACAGAATTTTGGGAAGGCTTAGCTTGGGTGATCAGAGTTCAGGCTGTCATCTTGGCTGAATAATGGTGCTTCTCGACATGACGTGGACAAGGTTATGGCACAGCAATATGGTCTCATCATTGCCTTTTCTGATAACAGAGCAGCTCAGTGTGTCTCCAAAGAAAACACAACTCAGCTGTGGATGTGGGAGAGCTTTGCTGCTCTGGTCACTGAAAGGCAAAGCAGTCCAGCCATGGATTTCTTTAGCTCTGAAGCAAGTGAGAAGCTAACCTTATATAAACCAAGAGTGCAGCTGTGTTTGGCACAGACAAACTCATCCACTTATCTCCAGGAGGAGGTGGAGTAACTGGCATCTGGCAGCATTTCATGATTTCACTTGAGGAGAACTCTTTCATTTGGGGTGAACTCTTCTACCTCATTTTCTCTGCTTTTACCCAAGTGTCTCACCCAGTGATGCATCACTGAGAGAAAAACACACAGACCATTAACCTGCCTGTTAACCTATGAGGTAATCTTTCCATTATCCCCAGAATTTGCTCACTATTCTTTGCTTTACATCATCCCCACAATGGGTGTTATTGTCTTCCCTCCTCCCAATCACTCCTGAGCCTGGGCCCTGCTCTCTCCTTCAGCAGGGCTGGTGCAGAACAAAAGACACGTGCCTTGACTCAGAGTTTCCAGGGGACCCTGGGACAGCTCTGATTACAAATGTTTGCATGTGATGGCTCCCACTGGACGTGGTGTGCCTGGCATATGGAAGCAATCAGGAGTCATTGGGGCTGTAAAGGACAGGATGCATTGTGCTGTAGCAGTCAAATTCCTACAGCAGTGTCAAGAGTTTGATGCTGTGCCATGTTCAGGTGTCAGAGCCCAGGAGATCAGATGGGCAAGCTGATGGTGCTCAGTATGAACCTCCAAACTGGCCCCTCCTGTTGGGCTGAGCTGGTCCATGACATGTTTTGAGCATACCCTGAAATCCTAGGAAAAAAATCAGGATTTGGCACATTTATGATAACTGGGTGGATCCAGCCTTTGCGTGGGATCTGTGGTCAGCAGTCTCCTCCTAAAGCTGTGTGGGTGCTCCTCTCACAGGCAGGGGGATCCCTAATCAGCCCTGGGCGATGGTGGAGCTGCATGAGCATGGTCAGCATGGTCATTTTCTCCTCCTCCTGAAAGGTTTTTCCCACCTGAGAGCAGCAGTCCTGGGGAGGAGACACTTGAGCCATCTCATCAACTTCACATTTCACTCTGCTGTTTTCCTCTGTAATTGCTCAAAGAGTCACTGGTGCCGCAAGCTGTTTGTGTGTTCCAGGTGAAAATGCCTGCCTCTAGGATGATGGGTTTGACTGCTCTGGTTTCTTTCCTTTTCCTGCTCTGAGCACCTTTTCACACAGGGGGTGGGAGGGAGCTCAGTGAGAGAGCAGGAGCTGCTGGGCAGCAAAGCTGAGCTCCTGCAGAGCTGGCTCTGAGCAGAGAAACCCATCCCTCAGCAAGGAAGGCAGAGCAGTTCTGCACTCCTGCAGCACAGCTTCACTCCTGTGCAAGGACCACATCCTGCACTGGGAGGCTCAGAGTGACTGGAGCAGCAAGGAGACCCAGCCTGGAAAACACAGATGAAGAGTTCTACCTCTTTTTTTTTTTTTTCTTTTTTTTTTTTTTTTTTTTTTTTTTTAGTTTATTTTTCTCTGCTGAAGTATTGGCTCACATAGTTACAGGGAAATTAGGTAGAAGATTTATGTAGAGTTTTTATCTTTGCCGATGAAGGGAGATAAGATAGTTGGCAAGAAGTCTGACACTGCTTTGATTTCAAGGAGCGCTGAGACAAAAGTGTTTTGGTAATTAGGTAACTTTCCACTGCTGGTTATTCCAAAGTCAAAGACAGCAGCATTCAGATTATATTGTCATAATTTTGCCTTTGTATTTTATATTTTTCTCCTTCCCTTGTGCACTGGACTCGTTCTTCCAGAATTGGGGTTGCAATGGAACACATCCCCACACACTGTTTTGTCTTGAGAATGAAGACAACCTCAGTTTAGAAAAAAAAATACTGGCACTTATTTTACAAAAACAAAACATATGGGCTTTATTACAGGAAATTATTACAAATGGATCTTTTTTCACTAATATATGCCTAAGCTTATTTTTATTACCTTGAAAAATGCACTTTAAATTTAATTTCACCTCCTAAGAATGAGACAGCAGTGGAACAATGACTAATAAAAGCCTAAACTGAAGGAGCTTTCTTCTGCAGGCAGACACAAATAGACATTAAAGAAATAGTGTTTCAAAGCCAGAGGCTAAAAAACTATAGATTTGACTTTGAATTACTCATTGAGGAGGTCAGGAAATTGTGGTTGAGGCGTTGCAGAGGGGTTGACAAATGTGTGAGGGCAGTGCCAATGGAGCCCACGGAGCAGGCAGCAGGAACAGGGATGGACTGGGCAGTTCCAAAGGGTTTTGTGCAGAGCCCACAGTGTGCAGCAGTGGCTGGAGGTGCTCAAGGGAAGGTCTCCTCCCTGGGCAGCAGAATGAGGCTCTGACCCAGTTGGAGCAGGATGTGCCAAGAGCAGCCTCCCTGCCCCATGGATGTGTGGGGGAAGGCAGCACTGAGATGCAGAGCATCCTTCAGCCAGGCCCTGCTGCTCCTCTCTGGGGGCTGGAGGCGGCTGCAGGACCAGCTGGGGACATGCCCTGGGGTCGCCCTGAACAACCCCTTCAGTGGTGCCCATGGCTAGGCTGCGTGGGCTTTTGTTTCCACCTGCTCCACCAGCCATGGGAGGCCAAATGCCTGAAGCCAAAGCTGTTTTATAACCCTCATCTCTGGCTCCAATGCCAAATGCCTGAAGCTGAAGCTGTTTTATAACCCTCATCTCTGGCTCCTTGTAGGTGCCAGCCCTTGGCTGAGCTCCTCTGTGTTCACCTGGGCCCTTGCAGAGGTTTGCCAGAGCTCAGGATGGTGATGAGCCAGACACAAACCAGGGGATGCTGAGGGTGCCAGGCACACACCAGGGGATGCTGAGGGTGCCAAGCACACACCAGGGGATGCTGAGGGTGCCAGACACAAACCAGGGGATGCTGAGGGCCACCTTCAGTGGGAGAGTGAGACAGGGGACTTGAGGGAGGCCCTGCCCAGGTGCAGCTGGTCCCGTTTCTGCCCTGGTGCTTCTTGCCATGAGCTTCCCTTGCTGCTGGAGATGCCCACAAGCCCAGTGAAAAGCAGGAGGTGCAGTCATGAAATCACAGAATGGTTTGGCTGGGAAGGGGCTTCAAGCGCCATCCAGTTCCACCCCCTACCATAGGCAGGGACATTTGACCAGGTATCTGCATCCCTTGCCAGTGCCCTCCCCTCCTGGCACTCTGAGCCACTGTGCCACAGGCTGTGCATCCATGTCCTGCCCCTTTGGAGCAGCTCATTAATCTCCAATTGATCTGTAAGTAAAGCTTTTAAAGCCTTCGTCAGCACTTTGGAATGATTTCTCTTTAATCAGCTCTTCATCTTTGATTACAGGTCTGAACCAAGGGAACTGTCTAGACTGGATTTAGTTTCTAGGGTGAAAAAAAGGAAAATTGGAGGTAGGGGAGGGAAGTGGTGGGGGAAGAAAGTGTGTGTTTCCAATGAACACGAGACAGGGGGGCTGGGAAAGCAGAGCAGCAGGGTGTTAAGATCTCCAGTAGTCAAAGGAAGGGATTGCTTTAGGCAAACTCTTTCCCACATGGAATATATAATGTCTAGACAATCAGTCTGGGTTTGGTTTGTAATTCTCTTAGGAAACCGTGACACAGAATTTATTTGCTTCTGTCACACAAAAGCAGGTATTTGTTTCACTTTCTGGCTCTTAATTACCCTGAAGAATTCCCTATTAAACCTCAGGCATTTCTACTGGTTGTTAAAATGATGACAAATATCTGAAGCTGGAGGATTTTCCTCTCTCTTTGAGAGAGTGTGCTGACCCTCAGCAGCACAGCATCCTACTTGTCTCAAATTCAGCTGGGAGCACAGAGGAAATGCTTGTGCTTGGGAGGAACACCTATGCCCTGGCTCTCTCAGCCCATCAATCAGCTGGCCTTGTTACTTTCACACCAAGCACAGAGCAGTAGGTGAAAGAATCCCCTGGGGAAAATGAGCAGGCAACTTCTGGATTGATTTTTTTTCCCCACTTTTCATTTTTTCTTTTTTTTCTTCTCCCTCTTAATATCAAGCCACGTTCCCTCAAATGGCCACTTTTGAGAATCAGATGATTGTTTCCCATTGAGCTGCAGATGATGGATGCAGTCTTCAGGGAGATCTTGCTTGTTTAGGGTCTGAAATCAGCAGGACAGCCCGGGGTGGTGCCTCTGACCCCTTGGGTTTTACAGGGGGAAAGTGCTGCCAGGCAGAAGGAAATGCTGCTCTGAGGCTGCTCACAGGGACACAGCTGAGCTGTGGTGCAGCCCAGGCTGCCTGTGCATGCACATTTCACCACTTCAGGGTGGAATTTCCAAGGTGGAATTTCTCCTTGTGGGGCTTTTCCCAAGTCCTCATGCCAATGCACGTATCTGAGAACAGGGTTCTCCTTTCCCTCCAGGTTGGTATTGTGTGTTTTGCCTATAAGTAAGCAAATAATTTGTGGTGGTGGACAGAAAGAGGGTGAAATGAGAGGGAAATGCTTGGCTGGTTTGGTCGAACAGCCACGGTGGAGCAGTGATGAGATGTGACAGCAGCAGTCAGCTGAGGAGATCCCAAATCCCATGGGAAATGTGCCCAGATGAACCAGCACTGGCAGTCCTGGTGAGGCTGTGGGATCAATTTCCATCCACTGCTTGTATAAAGTCTCCTGGAAAGTGTATTTTTGAAAAGAAATGTGCCTTCTTTTGTTCTGTGGAGAAATTGGCAGCATGCAGCTCTGAAGGAGATAAAAGTGTGGTTAGTCTTTTGTTGAAGTCTGTATTTCTGATGAAGAGTCTGCTTGGAAACATCCCCAATACAGCTGGACCCAGAATTATATAAAATAGAGAAAAAGCTGTGAGACACTGCTGGTTAATCTGCTGTATCCATCTCTTATTGCAGAGTAATCAGTTATGAGTGCTGTCCTGGATATGAAAAAGTTCCTGGAGAAAAAGGCTGCCCAGCTGGTAAAAACATGTTTGACATTTTTTAGACTTCTTAAAATTATACAGCTGCCTAGTAAAGGGAAATGTTAGAAAATTGCTCAAAGTGGATTCGATTTTTGCAATTTCTGCACGATATTGCCATGAACAAGTCCAAAATGGGCTTGGTGGAGCACCAGCCAAGAGTCAGATCAGCTCCAAAGCATGCTAAATGTTCCAGACAACTCAGAACCTTGGATGTAATTGAACTTAATCGAGCATGGGGAGGCCATAGGGACCTACTTATTCCAGCAAGTCATATATCTGTACTGGAAATTCAATTCAGGGGAATGAAAGAGTAAGAGACAGCTCTGCCAATCTCTGCTCCTTTTCATTTTCATAGATGCATAGAGGGGTTTATACTGGAAGGAACCTTAGAGTTTATCTGGTTCCAACCCCTGCCATGGGCAGGGACACCTTCCACCAGACCAGGTTACTCCAAGCCCCATCCAACCTGGCCTTGAACATTTTGGCTAGCATGGGGTTAGCAAAGTTTTATTTAGGAGAAAATACAGTTGATATTGCGAGGGGGATAAACTGAGTTTATTGAAGAAAGCCATATTCTGCTTTTGCTTTCAGAATACTTCCTTCCATAAAAGTCTGATGGCTCCAAGTTAACCACATGGGCTGGTGCACGTGGTCAGTGGACACTGAGACCAGCAGTGTCCAACACCACATCCCAAAAGCCTGAATACAAACAGGATTGGGTGAAAGCAATCAATATCTTTGCTTGCCTAAATCACATTTGTATAAACCCAGAATAAGTCCATTCAAACTTCCAAGAATACAGTAGATCCTGGATTACACTGCTGTAATTGAGGGTGAAGCTGTCAGGCTATGATTATTTATTATCTAATTATTGAACAGACCCCAATCCCCTGGTGTGCTTCACTTCCCAGCATTCTCACCAGCAATGTTTTTATTCTCCCAGAAGGTGGAATGATGTTTTTGGGAACTTTACCTTCTCTTCTTTCAGCTCTGCCGCTTTCCAACATCTATGAAACCCTGGGAGTGGTTGGCTCTGCCACCACACAGCTCTACTCCGACCGCTCCAACCTGAGGCCAGAGATCGAAGGGCCTGGAAGTTTCACAATTTTTGCTCCCAGTAATGAGGCCTGGGCATCCTTGTCTGCTGTAAGATAATCCCTCTGCTTCCTCCTCTTCCTCTGGTTTTCCCTAGTGGAGATGCAGCTCTGCAGGGGTCTGGCAGGATAGGCATAGTACTGATAGAGGGAGGGCTGTGGATTTCCAGGAGGGTTTTCATTGTACTGGTCCATCAGCTCCAGAGCTTTGCTTCTGAAGGATCCCATCACCAGAGAGATGTGGATGTAGAAATCCCCTCATTCAGTTTTTCCTGCCTGTTACCATTAGAGACTGAACTGAGACCTGCAGCAAGAAACTTCCCATCCCTTACCAGTTTTCTTGTTGACCCTTGCATTGCCATTCTGGTTGTTCTTAATTTGTACAAATAGCCAGTCCCAGCTGGAGCCTCAGTAATTCCCACATGACTGTGTCCCATGCTCAATTAGATATACATTTCCTTTACATTCATTTTGATTTTCTCCTTCCGTGCCTTGTGATATTTCCACTCCTGAAGTGGTCACTGCTGTCCTGCTGCTGCTCCCACCCCATCGAGCATCCCTGTGAACAAGAACAACTACTAGGGCAGGGAGAGGGGATATTTATGCGTCTCTCCACTGCCAAGACTCTGTCCCAAATTCCCCAGCAGAGCCCCTTGCAGGGATGATGCTGTTGGGAAAGGTCTTTTAGTGTATTTGTCAGTGGCCCTTTTGCTTTACCGCTCATTTCAATGCAATGATCCCACTCTGGACTGCAATCATCCCTTTGTGTGCCAAGGACTGGGTGTCAGAGCTCTTGATTGCTATTGTAAGGCAAAAGATAAAGATTTTAGAAAGCTGAGCTCTTCATTTACACAAATGGCATGAGGCTGAATGAATCACTTAATATTCATGCCCACACCCCCACCTTGGGAGCCCCTTGGGAGCAGCCAGACCTCCTGGTGCTCTCTAGCAGCTGCCTAATTGCACTCAGTACTGAAAAATTGATTTTTCTGATTTTCAGGAGACCCTGGACTCCTTGGTGAGCAACGTTAACATTGAGCTGCTCAATGCCCTCCGCTACCACATGGTGGACAAGCGGGTGCTCACAGATGATCTGAAACACGGCACCACCCTCAACTCCATGTACCAGAACCTGCCCATCCAGATCCACCACTATCCCAACGGGGTAAGGTGTTCACAGGCTCACACTGGCTCGGGCTGAAGGGACCACAGAGCTCACCTGGCCCAGCCTCCCTGCCCAGGCAGGGTCAGCCCAGAGCACATGGCACAAGATTGTGTCCACATGGTCCTGGATATTCCCAGTGAGGGACACCTCAGGACAACATGTTTCAGTGCATGCTCACCTGCAGTGAAGTTCTTCCTCATATTGAACCTACTCCCAGCAGGCTTGCTTTCCAGCTGCCTTGCAGCTCCTACACTGTCCTGGGACCTCCAGGACTCTGTAATGCTGAGGCTGACAGCTATTGATTTAAGATACATACTAAGAAGGAGTTTGAAAATGATATTTTTAAACAGATGCTTTCCTCAATGCTGTTGCAGCCCGCGCTGCTGTGTAACTCTGCTTGCCCAGGTATTAGTTCTGGCTTATTTTCTTAGTCTTGAGTGTAGATAAAACCACTGATGATTTTCAAAGCTCTTTAAACTTGAAATACTTCAAACATTCATGATAGAACATTCTCAATTTTGGTGGAAAATTTTACAGAAAATTTAAGGAAAATAAAGTAGAATATTTTAAGGAAATACAGCTCCTGCTCTTGCCGACTCAATAAAGTGCTCGCTGCATTTGAAATAGAAATAGAAAAGCAGCACTTTATCTTCTGGTTTTAGTGGTTTTATTGCCTGTAACACCCGTGGATCTCTCCCTGTGCAGATTGTGACAGTGAACTGTGCCAGGCTGCTGAAAGCTGACCACCATGCCACCAACGGGGTGGTTCATGTCATCGACAAGGTCATCGCCACCACCACCAACACCATCCAGCAGATCATTGAGACTGAGGACAGCCTGGAAACCCTCCGGGTCAGTCAACTGCAGCTCTCCTTAAAGATGCTCAGGCAGCCCTCCCCCAAAAAATTGTCCTGAAGAGCTTTGCCAGTGTCTTGGGCTGTGACCCTGGAGCTGCTGATGAATTCCTTGTACCAATGTACAAGGATTTTGTACAAATCCTTTTGATTTAGGAAGAGATCCTTTGCTATCAGAGCAAATAGGGTTTATGGCAATAAATGTCACCCTTCTATGGCTGCTCAGAAAGCAGAGACTGAGTCTGTCTCCTCACTCTTGTAGAGGAGTCTCAGCCTTAGGAGATATTAACTGTTCCAATTTGATGTGTCCTGCTTTATTTGCCTTGGTGTTTGCCAAATTAAGGAAGATGCACAGGGGATTTGCAGTTAGCCAGATGTGGGTTCTGATTGGAATTATTCACTGGAAGCACTGTGAGCCTTTCCAGGCATATCTGGGTATTCAGACTCGCTCTCAGTCTTGCCAAAAAAAAAAGGGCTCTTGTACTCAAATTTCTGGAACACCAGAGAACCATGGGGCTGGGTCAAATTTTTAAAGGGACCAAAGTGCTGAATGAAGCTATTCAGGATTTTTTTGTAAGTCCTCTGAAATTATAAAAGCCTTAATAAGTCTGGCCCTTAGTGTGTGCCTGGAAAAAGTTTCTGACCTCTGTACTCTGTCTGAATGTGTTTTTCCCTCTCTCCCTGTTCCTGTGAAGACTGCTGTGGCTGCATCTGACCTCAGCAGCCTGCTGGAGAGCGAAGGGCAGTACACACTGCTGGCTCCCACCAACGAGGCCTTTGAGAAGATCCCACGAGAAACTCTGAACAGGATCCTGGGAGACCCCGAGGCCCTGAGGGGTGAGTGCTTGTTCACTGGGGCCATTGAGAGCCTCAAGAGTGTTCTTCAGTTCTTCTAAATTTTTTTTTCTCAAGGACAAGTCAACAGCTCCTTGATTCACTCTGACAACACTGCAGTAAGCAGATGTGACAGAGTTCATCTTTTTTAACTGGACAGCCCAGCTCCCTTTGGTTGTAGATGTGTGTAGACATAGCAGGAGTGGCATCCAGATATGGATGAGGGAGCTGAAGCAGTCCCTTTTCTGAGTTTTCTTTTAGCTCTTTTTGCAGTGGTGATTTCTATTGATCCAGCAAGATGCAAGAAAAATAAAATCTAATCAATGTAACTTCCCCCGACAAGTGAGTCAAATACCCACATGAAGCCTTTTGAAATTGGCAAAAATGTATAAAAAGTGACTCTTTTTAGGCATTTTACTTCACAGGCTGTGGAATTGAAATCAGCTCAATTTAAAATGACTGCATTTTATGGAGTACACCCTGGCCATGGAACAGGATCCCTGAAAGCTGCAGCACTTTCATAGCTGGTTTTTGCAGCTCACTCAGGCGCTCTCCTCTCTCACAGACCTGCTGAACCATCACATCCTGAAGTCAGCCATGTGTGCTGAGGCCATCATTGCTGGCCTGACCATGGAGACCCTGGAAGGAGCCACCCTGGACGTGGGCTGCAGTGGGGAGGAGCTGACCCTCAACGGGAAGCCCATCATTGCCAACAAGGATGTCCTGGCAACCAACGGCGTGGTGCATTTTGTAAATGAGCTGCTGATCCCAGACTCAGGTATGCTGCCTCTCTGCAGCGTTCTTTCTGCTGCCTTTCTTTTGTCTATTTTGCCAAGGAAATCCTGGATTTAGGGGGCACAGTGATGAGTGGATAACCTTTAATGCAAGGTTACTATGTGTTGCTTTTCTTTTCAGCTAAGACTGTGTTTGAGTTGGCACAAGAATCTGAAGTTTCCAAGTCTACAGACCTTTTCAGACAAGCTGGGCTCAGTTCTCATCTAACTGGCAGTGAGCAAGTGACCCTCCTTGCCCCAGTGAATAATGTGTTCAAAGGTAAAGCAGGGATTAAATCCCTTTCTTCCATCACTTTGGGCCACAGATCTTCTTCAAACAGCTTTCAGCCAGATTTCAGTGCACAAGTATGCAAATCCTCTCTCCAATGCCTCGAGGCAGTGGCATCCAGGTTTACAATTTAAAACTGATGTGGATAATGCTCTGTATTTGAGCGGTTTTTAGTGGCTCTATATCCATTTTAAGTGAATCACTGGTTCTTTCCACTGTTTTTGCTGCAGATGGACTCCCCGTTATTGACAGCAACATGAGAAACTTGCTCCTGAACCACATTGTTAAAGACCAGCTCTCCTCTAAATATCTGTATCATGGACAGAAGCTGCAGACTCTGGGGGACAAGGAGCTGAGGGTTTTTGTGTACCGCAATGTGAGTCCCTGCTGTGTGCTGAGCTCCTCGGGGCTGGGGGATGCTCAGGGTCTGATGCTACAGCAATTGGGTAAAAAGGGGAAATGAGCATTGTGGAAAGCACCAACATCTCTCTTTGGAAGCATTCTAATGGAGCCTTCTTTTCTGTGTTTGCAGAACCTTTGCATTGAAAATGCCTGCATTGCTGCCCATGACAAGAGGGGGAGGTTTGGGACGCTCTTTAGTGTGGACAAAATGTTGACTCCTCCAACTGGCTCAGTGATGGATGTTCTCAAGGCAGACCATCGCTTCAGGTGACCTTTCTGCTCTTCCCAAGTGCCACTTAGAATCAGAACAGCTGCCAAAGCAGTTTCTATTTATTATGGGTGGTAGTCATGACAATGTATATGTTTTTCTGGCATAGAAAGATCATCCAAAACCATGGTCTCTCTAAATTATAGGGGGTGAAACTTCAAATAACCCTCAGTCAACTGTGAGCCAAGAGTAAGTGGTTCCCTTAATACCACAAGAATCTGGCTCTGAAGCCATCTCTGCCCATCAGATCCACTGTAGCCAGACTTCTCTGACTCCCCAAAGCATCTGGTCCCCATGGAGTCAGCACTCTCAGGTTGATTTGCCTTTCTCAGATGTTCTGGTTGGTCCCCATAGGCTCATTTCCTCCCTAATCACCGTTGTGGCCATTAGATTTGCTGCACCCCTGCAGGATTTCACATTGTAACTCCCCAGCTCTCTCCTGAGCCCAGCACACAGCTGAGCAGTGAAGTGTTGTGCAGTGAAGCATTTGATGCCTGTTTGCTTTGCAGTACCTTGGTGGCTGCAATCCAGTCTGCAGGGCTGACAGAGAACCTCAACAGGCCGGGAACCTTCACAGTGTTCGCTCCCACAAACGAAGCTTTCCAAGCCATGCCCCAGGGGGAGCTCAACAAACTGCTGGGTGAGCATCTCCACAACATTTGGGTGATGAGCTGCTGGGTGGGACTGCTGTGATACCAGGAGGAATGGCCAAGTTTCTCTGTTATATCTCATTCTTTGTCTGTTGGAAGGATGAGCTTCCTACCCAATGGAGTTGTATGAGCAGAAGCTGAGGATGCAGAGAGTTGGCACTGAATTCCCCAAGTGGGGTTTATACTGCCTGCGTTCTTGGAAAACATGTTTGTAGTGTGTGTCACAAACTCACTGTGACTTAATTTGGCTGTACTGGTGATGTAAGTGAGATAACTCTCAGATATTTCTAAAAGACCCTCTGCCTTTTTCAAGGATGAAAGAATGAGAATGTGACTCTTGACAACACAGGATCAGGGTGTCTGCAGTAAGTTTTGCAAAGAGAAGACATAATCCACATACAGCCTCAAGTTACACTGTATGAAATTTAAGTAATAAAGGGCTGAGGCTGTTTCTCCTCCATGTACATGGACAAAGCAGGAGGTCCTGTCTAATCCTGGGAAACCAACAATGAACCATTCTAGCTCAGACAAAGACCAGTATCCTGAAAAGCAAAGGCATGCAGGCTGGGTGTGGAAAAAAGTACGGGTATGTTTAATAGCTCCCTTCTGGATAAGCAGCATGATCTTTTATTTTGTTCATGTTGAAAACTGGTTGTGGCTGGAAACAATGTCAGGTATTTGAATGTAATGTCTTGTCATTAAAACCCAGCCAAACATTGACATCATAATTTGGGAAGCATCTACCCATGGTAGCTGGTTATCCTTTTAAGTGCAGGGATGAGGAACCTGTAATATCAGTCTAGCCTTATGCTTAACATATAAATATTTCAGAGGTGTTTTGCAGCCATTGTAAATGGCTGCAGGAATGAAGATTCCCAGATGCAGACACTTGAGATGTTCTTTTCTCACACAAATGTTTAGCTTATGCCTCTGATGAAGAGGTGGATGGTGCTGGTGAGGGTGTGCAGAGTGAACTGTGGCCACCCTAAGGAAAACCATAATGGAAAAAAGCTTGCATACAATCTTTGAAAGAATTGAAAGAAAAAAAATCCCCCTTGCTGAGGAAGCTGTGACTGGAGGCCACCTTTGCACTAGTTGTCTGTAGCTGACAGTGACTAGCTGACCATGACTCTGTCTGTCTGTCTGTCTGTCTGTGGGGCTTGCCAGTGACCCTGTGTCCTCTGAATGAGAAGATGAAGAATTGCCACTGGCCCAAGCTGAGCATGTCACCACCTCTTCTGGAAAATAGATGGTGCTGGGAAAGCACCTCATCTTCCCCAAATCTGTTTCCAAGCACAGCTCTATGAGACTCAGTGGGGTGGTATCAGTCCATGAGACATTAATGTCACTTCTCCTGCACTTTTCCCCTTCCTACCCAGCTGTGAGGATTGTTGCCAAGTGACACTTGGTCTTGGTGACATTTGAAAATACCAGAATGCCCTATCTGCTTCCTTATTTCACATGGGTCTTTCCCCACCCCATCCCAGACTTCCTTGGGAAGTGAAAGCAGCAAGAGAAGCAGGTTCATTCCGAGAAGCAGGTTCTCACTTGGCACAGTGAGAGAATGAGGGATGAAAACCCAAGAGAGAGAGAATTCATGTGTAGGGCAGGCTTGGTAGGTACCAAGGACATTGGGAGAGTGTCCTTCTGGATTTGGGAACCTGACCTGCCCAGGCAGGAATGGCCTCAGTGCTCTAATCAGGTCCTTCTGCCTGCTTTTTGGGTTTGGTGTGAATTGTTTGAAGAAACAACTTTACATTGTTTCTTCACACTTCCAGGAAATTATGGTGTTTTCCAAGTAATTCCATTCCAGCACGTGAAACATGGGAAGCAAGTAGTGATGCTGGTTTGCAGCTGTAAAGGTTTTCTTCCCCCAGGTAATGCCAAGGAGCTTGCCAACATCCTCAAGTTCCACGTGGCTGACGAGATCCTGGTGAGCGGCGCGGTCACTGCCCTGGTGAGGCTGAAATCCATGCAGGGAGACAAGCTGGAAGTCAGCATGGTGAGTCACCCCAGATGGCATTCTGTGCTCAGCAGGGCTGTCCAGGGTTTGGTTATCCATGTCATGGACCACAGCTCATGTCTGTGCTCACTTGGATTCTGTGGGAGCATCTCCATGGTCCCACCAATGTTTTCTGGGCTGTACTGGAGGGACTGTTGCCATTGTTCAATTCCACAAGCTGGAAGAATGAAATGTGGTTTGCTTCAGCTTTCTCCCCCGAAGACCAGTTGTAAATGATTTCCAGGAGCTGTGTAAATTTAACCCTGAGTCATGGGGGGAAAACATAAATAAAAGAGATGAATAGCTTGTTCAGCTAACATATCTTTTTGTGTAATGAAAATGATCTCTGCATGGGCTCCCTTAGCGCAGCAGAGTTTATTTAGATATATAATTTCATTTCAAAAACTCTACACTACATTAGGGAATGTTGAATTCTCTATTGAGGAAAAAAATAATTTCAGAAAATATGCAATCATGGCTCACTCTATGCATAAGAAAACACCACAAAGGAAAAAAAAATAAAATGGAAGGGACTGTGTTTCCAGGTGCATTGAACTGGCCAACGTGCACCCTGGGCTTCTCCCATGTCCAGTCCTGCTCTGCCCTGTCCTGATCCCATCCCCACAGCCATCCCCTGGCAGGGTGCTGGTGGATGTGCTCTGCTGCCACGGGACAGCATTCCCCGCCAGCTGCACTGAGGAAGTCCAAAGTCTGCCAGCCATTCCAGGACAAAGTGCTCAGGCTATAATTTGTCCTTATATTCTCCTTAATTGGCAAGAGGAATGAAAATGCCTTCAACCATCCAGTAAATGAATGAATGCAAAGTAAAGTGATTTTTTAAAATAACATTGGAAATGACAGCATATTCTCATCTTCTACATTTTTATTTCTTTCTTTTACTGAATAGAAGAACAACGTAATACATATCAACAAGGAACCTGTTGCTGAAAGTGATATCATGGCCACAAATGGTGTCATTTATGCTGTGAATTCTGTCTTACAGCCACAGGGTAGGTCCATGGTGACAAATGTCCAGAGAAACCTTGTTGGAGCAAAACTGCTTTGGGAGGGACTGGGGACATGGGGCAATTGCTTCAGTTTGGTGAGGAGAGATTAGTCTGTAGTGGGATTTTCAGCAGAAGATAGTGGAAGGAAGCAGCCTGCATGCTCTGACAAGTATTTCAATGCTTTCAATGTCCCACCCTTAGCTTCAAGGCCACAAGAAAGAGGTGACGAGCCTGCAGATCCTGCACTAGAAATCTTCAAACAGGCATCTGCATTATCCAAGGTAAAAGGGAAAAACCTCTCACTGTGAAACTGCTGAAATTGCATTTTGGTAATAATTATTGGAAGATCATGTCACATTCATATGCTGACTTCCAAGGAAAGTGAGTGTATATGTTCCATGGAATGATCCATCCTCTCTTCTTGCATGATTTAGTAAGAAATTATAAGATATAATAAAAAAAAATTAATTTTAATATAATGCTAATTATATATTATATATTCTACACTATATATTATATACTATATACTATATATTATATATTATATAATATATATTATATATTATATATTATATATTATATATTATATAGTATATAGTATATATTATATATTATATATTATATATTATATATTATATATTATACATTATATATTATATAATTATATAATACATATAATATTGTGTATAATTTTAATTATATTATATATAAATAATTATAAAAATAATAATAATTTTGCAACACAAAGCTTCAGTTTGCAGCACATTGAGAATGTAACTTTGGCATGATACTATTATATATCAGTTTCCAATAATGAAGAGCCATCCATCCATAGGTGTTGGGGACCAAGGATAACTATATTGACACACAAACTGTTCTTATGGCTGTTGGAGATGTGTTGAATTTATGCAAACCCTCTATTTTCTCTCCATGCAGGTTTCTCAGAGGAATCCTCGACTAGGTAAACCAACTCCTCCAGCTCCTCTCTAATTTCCATTGTGTCCCCCCATCCCTTAGAGAGAGGTTTCTCCTCTTCTCTTGCTCTGAGCAAGATGTGGCATGGCTGGGGGGAGAGGGGCAGGGGGATGCTCTGTGCCACCCACCCAGCCTGCTTTTCTCCCTGCAGCCCCTGTGTACTCCCGGATACTGGCCAGGATGAAGGAGAACTCAGGGGCATTCTGAGCCCGTCGTGAGCAGCCACCAGTCAGTGCCTCCATCCCATCCACTCCAGCTGACAGCTGAGGAGAAGGACACAGAACCGTTTTTAAAAACCAAATACCACCCTTAAATTTATTTTTGTTTGCAAAGAAACAGATAGGAAAAACGAAAAGCCATATATATGTATATATTTTAAGACCATTTTTATTTGGTTTTGACTTTGAAGTTCCCAGAACAAGGAAATGTTTTAAGGGTTTTTGTTTGTTTTGTTTCATTTTTGTTTTGTTTCTTTTTAAAATAAAATTATTCACCAACTTTCAATTTTTTGGGCTTGATAGGTACATCCAAGGACCTTTTATTTTTTTAAACAAGCATGTCCTTCCTTCTTCCCTTGGATTTTAAAAGTCTTCCATGAAATTCTGATCTGCAGGCTTTTAACAAAATTCTCTCTATTGACATTGAGACAATTGCATAGTTATAAGCTATGGTTTGAAGTATTCTCTTTTTTTTTTTTTTTTAACTGGAGTCTTTTTTGTGCCTATGGTTATAACTGTGCTGCATTTTGTTCATGAGATTTGAAATGAGAGTTCTCCCTGGCTGAAGCCTTCCAGTAAAGGATTCATTTTTAATAATGGTTGTTTTTTAATAAAAATTAAAAATAAAATCAAAAATATAAATATAAAAAGTGATGACAGTGCTTGGTTGGGTTTTTGCTTGGTTTGAATTGCCTGATGGCAGCAGGTGATCAAACCTGGGCACTGGGGAGGAGGGGAATCACATTTGGCTGGATCAATATTGATAGGCCTAATAGTTACTTGAGTGGAATGGCAGAGCATTTCTGCATTTCTCCTCTCTGATCCTGGCCTGGCATCATTTTTTGCTGGTGTTCTCATAAGCACTCACTGTCACTCTCCAAGGAGCACAGGGACAGTTATAGTTATAGTTATAGTTATAGTTATAGTTATAGTTATAGTTAGTTATGGTTATAGTTATAGTTATAGTTATAATTATAGTTATAGTTATAGTTATAGTTATAGTTATAGTTATAGTTGTTATAGTTTTCCTTAGCCATGCACATCCTCCCAGCCACCTTTGCTGGCAGCTGGAGCTCAGTGCCACATTCACTCCCCATCTGGCTTCATATTCACTCCCTGGTCATTGGTACCTTGGTGAAATCCACATGAAACCCAAAAAAGAGAAAAGAGAAAGAGGGTGTCAAGCGCAGAACACAAACCACTCAAGATTGTTTTGCTTGCTCTGGCAGAGAAATACCCTGACAGTTCTCCTTCTATTAAAAGCCCAAACTGAAATCTCACCTGCTCAGAGTCATCTGCATAACTCAAATGTGTGAAAAATACCCAGCTCCTCTTTTAGCTCTTCTTTTATTTCTCTTCCTCACCACCCCTTGCCCCACGTCCCCTCATTTTTCTTTGTTATTTTCTGGCATGATGCAGCCCTGGTATTTCAGGCTGAGGAGGAACACTTCCAGCCTCCTAATCCCAGCAGCCCAAGGCAGAACAGTTGTATCAAGACATTGGATTTTGGGGGAGGCTCAGCTTCTTCCTGTTAAACTAATGAATGTTCCTTCCAAAGCCTGAGAAAGAGCGAAAGCCATGTCAAACCTGCTCTGGTTTATTTTCTCTTCCTTGATGCTTCATAATTGAGAGATACAAAGTCCTCACAACTTGGAAGGGTGGAAAGTAGGTCTGCTCCTCATCTAGGTGAGTGCCCCTGGTTTACAGCTTTTGGCATCTGGCTTGGTGACTAATTGTTTCATTGCAAAATGAAGTCACTTGAGTAGACAGGAATAGGGAAAACTGCTTAGATGAGCTTAACAACCACGAGCAGCCCCATCTGCTGAGACAACAGTTTTCATCTCCTGGAAATACAGCCCTGGCTTTTCACTCCATGGCTCCTGGGCAGGTGTTGGGATGTGTGGTGATGGGGGGATGGTCTCCTTTGTGCTTTTTGTGTGGCCTGGCTTTGCTAGGCTTGCTTTTGGAGGTTTATGAGTCCCAGCAGTTTCCAGTAGATAGAGGTGCATTCTCCTTTCAATCCAATTCCCTTCTTGCCCTCTCCTGTTGCTTATTCTCCCTGGTGCTTTGGCAGCACTCCCTGCCTCCCTCCTGCTGCCTGTTCCATGCTCTGAGCTGCTGTGGGTGCCAGCAGCAGCCCCCAAGCGCTGTGGGTGGGAGCTGCTCTCCCTGTTGTGTTGGATCTATCATTTCCCTGGATCCTACAACCTGGGGAGCCATCTCAGGGTGCCTTCCCACAGGCTGCTGGGCAGCTCCCCAGGACTTTGGTGTCTCCAGATTACAGCTCATGGTGGAAACTCTTGTGAGTTCTTAATGCTCACTCTGCTCCAAATTCATTTCTCACCCCTCTGTGTTCAGGGAGGGATACACAGATGGATTTGATCAGTGGCTGAGCTGTCTCAGTTGATCAGTAGGGACTGTAACCCTTGCTTTGATTCAGTGACACTTTGGGGATGTTTTCCCCATGGATTTGTCACTGTGCCTTACCCAGTGATGTGAGGGTGAGTGCTGCCAATGATTCCACCAAGGGGAGCGAGATGTTAATGCCTCAGCCTTCAAGGGGTGCCCAGGGATGAAGCAAGAGGACAGCAGCTGAAAGATGGGGAAATGAGGAGTGCTGAAATGATGGGAATAAAAACTTATCTGTCATTTTCTAGAGAAATCTTTTTAATATTTTTTAAGTATGATGAAAGGTGGAAGTGAAAGGAAGAAGGAAGTTGCTGGTGCTGAGGCAGAACAAAACCTCCCTGGGGAAGTGCTGGCCAAGGGGCAGAGAGCTCCCATGGGCACAGCTGGGTGTGGGAAGCTGAGGGATGTCCCAGCCAAGGGCTGTGGTGTGATGGAGGAGCTGGAACTCCCCTGGGTACCCATCCCCTCCCAGAGCTGCAGGAATATTCAGATAACAGCACTCAGGAAGGGGAGAAGCAAAGCCCCATTCAGAAGCTGCTCAGGGTGGCCTTGGGATGAGCAGCATTTGGGATTGGCCTTCAGTGACAAACAGCACTGGGTCTCCAGCACAGAGCCATTCTGCACCAGGGGTTTGGATTCTCAGTGTTGTCAGAGCATTTCCTCATGAAACCCAGCCTGTGTGAACGTCACCGTGACCTGGAGCCACGTCTGTGCTCCATGGGAACTCCCTTCAGGACCGGGGCAAAACCAGTAAACTGAGACCAAGTAAGAGTGTTTTGGAGGGGATTTTTGATTTCCCCTCCTTAAGAGTCAAGAGTGTTTTTCAAATGAAAATTTGCAGGGATGTGCAGCTGCCCTTGTTTATTTTTTACAATAACGATTCCTTCATTTGCAGCAGTTCCAGTTAAGCAAAGTAATTAAATGCATGCAGAAATCCATTTAGGGAAAGTACAGCTTTTAAATGTGTTCTATGTCCCAGAATGATGCCAGTATGGCCAGGCTGCTGCTCGTGGGTCACTCCTGTGCCAGAGGAGCCCCAGTGCCCTCCAGGGTTGGGGCAGTGAACAGAAAGTGGTGCCTTTGAAGGGCTGGAAAAGCAATGTTGACTGCAAAATGCTGTGTTTTGAGAAGCTCCATGATGTGGTTTTGCTCATTTTCATCTTGAGATATGAACCAGAGGTGTTTTTCTTCTAGAAAACTTTTTTGCTGTCTGGCAGCCTTCTGCAAAGATGTTTAAGGCAAGAGGAAAAGCATCGCCGAGCTTTGTTCCAGGGGGATCTCACACGCAGGGCTGCAGTGGAAAACACGTGTTGCTGCAGTGTCAGGGGATCTGGGAGCTGTGTGTGCCGGGCTGATGAGGGAGCTTGGAGCTGACCTGCCCTGAGAGCTGTGGGGGAGCCGGGCTGGGAGGGCTGCAGGGTGGGCAAAGGCAGCTCTGTGCCTCACTGGGGGAGCCCTGGAAAGGAAAAGCCTTTGCCTGTGTCAAAGGCCAGGCAGAGGCCTGAGTGAAGCCAAGGCAGCTCAGCCAGATGTGCTGACCCCTGGAAAGGGTCACCTGGAGACAGGGGAAGCCACCCATAGGCTGTCACTGGAAAACTCTACTCCTGCTTTTGTGCTGTGGGGAAATAAATTGTTGCTTCTACATGTGATTTATTGGAAAGTTAGCTGGTGTCCCAGGAGGAGCAAAGAGAAAAAACAACGCTGAAAGACAAGCTCAAAGGAGCAGTTGGGATCAGAGGCATTCAGGCAACTCTTGCTTTATTTTGTTTTTCTTTGGAGTCTTTTTTGGAGACACATTTGAGAGATTTTTCAGAAACCTTTCAGAAAAATATTTAGGGGGACTTTCTTTCCAACAGTGAATGATCCCTTACTGTTTTGTAAGATTTTTATGATCACTTTGCAAAAGCTCAGCACTTCTCCTAGCAGAAGTCAGAGGGTAGCAGTGCCTGGTGAGCCACACACTGTGCCACGTGGAGGCATCTCCTGCTAAGGCAGAATATTCTAAGGATTTGTTTTCACCTCCTGGAAAGGAAGGTGGCAGGAAGGGTTGGTTTGCTGGATGATGCCATTCATGGTACTGAAAAGCACTTTACAGAATTGCCATGGGCTGACCCATGCACATCTGTCCTGCTACACTTACCCTTGACTTTTCTGCAGCTTTTCAGAGGGTTTGGCTGCCTCTGGCTTTTAACCTGTCTGTTCTTTCTCTGTTCAGCATTTCCATCTGAATTTGGAAGTCACACATTTCTTTCACAGGATGCAGCTTGTGTATCAAGCCCTATTAGCCGGCAAATGCAAAACTCATTCTATTTTAATTGCTCCTTTGGGGAGGAGAATCAAATTCTCCTGTTTGGAAAATAATTGTGCAGAAGCTGAAGGCTGTCTCAGGGCATTTGTTAAATTTTGCAGAGGCAGGAGGATAAATTCCTGGATTTCAGGATTTCTACCAGTGCTGCTGTGTAGTCTTCTAGCTTTCTACCTTTGTTTCAGAGTTTGCAATTGGGATATTTAGGAACCTTTAGGTGGAGATCCCAGATAATCCCCAAGTATTAAAATACTATCTTTGTACATGTAGCAGTTGGGAAGTTACCAACCTC